CCGCCGCCGCCGCCGCCGCTCCCCCCCGTTTCTGCTCTGGAGGCCGAGCCTCGCCTTGAGCCCGGCGCGGCTCGCTCACCGCCCCTTTCAGGGCCAACCGCTGGCCCCTCCACCACTCCCGCCCCTGCCCGGGGGCGTCCGCCGCGCGCCCCGCCTCACTGAGGGCAGACGCACCGGGCGCACGGGCGTCCTCAGCCCCGCCCCCGCGGCTCAGCGCGGGCGCCGGAACCGCCTGTCTCGCCCGGCCTCTCGGCGGCGCGCCCTGACTCCGCCATGCGGGTTGAGGGCACGCAGCGAGGACGCACGCCCGGCGCGCGGGCGGTTCCTCTCGGCCCCGGATGTGACTTTTCGGCGGCGGCGCCTCGTGCGGTACGCTCGACGGGATTGGGCGCCCGCGGATGAGGTCATCACCGGGCGCCGAGCGGGGAGCGCAGGTAGGGGCTGGCGCGGGGGTCGGGGCTGCCTTCTGGTGCCTTTTCCTCTGTGGGGTCCGGCGGCCCCGCGTCTGCTCTTCTGGCCCCCCTTTCCCACGACGTTTCCCGTGTTATTTAGGGTCTTTCTTCAGACTCTAGCGTAACGCATGCACCTTTCCCCCCTTCTAGCCAGATCCTGGCTCCTCCAACTTGGCTTGAGTTGCATCCTCTTTGTTTACCTTGGCCAAACAAGGCTGAGGCAGTCTTTTCCGGGTCAGGTCCTCTCGTTCTCCCGAAACTTCAGTACTTACTAGAACGTCTATGCCAGTGTGCATTCGGAAAGTCAGGTGGTTACATCTGAACCCACCCCCCTCTCACGCGCACACACACGTTTGGATCACCTTAAAGCGTCTTTTGCGTGCTGATGAAGTGCTGCCGCATTCTTTTGGGCAAAATGTTGTCTTTCCCAGATCCACCGCTTAGTAAGCAGGTTAAGGCAGTGTATCTTCATTCGGTTGGAATTAAACATTCCAATGGGGAGATACATGGAGGCTGTAATTATAGGTGGATTCTTGGAAGGGAAAGAATTTCAGAATTATTTGTTCATATACGTTTTCCTAGGTGTCCCCAAAAGTTTTCTGACAGCTTTAAAGAAAGCTAAGTAAAAGAATAGTAATAACCATTGTTTGAGCCACGGTGTAATCCAGACACTATACTAGGTCCTCTATGCGAGTTTTTATATGTATAATTCTCAAAACAACTCTATGAGGTAAGTATAATAATAGGGCATACAGACTCCCCTAGTCAACTCCAGTGGATTACGACCTTTATGCAGTAAGAAATCTTTTCTGAAGCTTCTTGCGCTGTATAATCTATTTCTTGGACTCTAGTAAAAACAACAGCAGCTACCTTCTATACTCCCTGATATGGTGTTTGATTATTACTTGCTCATCTTTTCTTTTCAGATGTCTATTTCACCAAGCTCAGGAACTCTAATTCTTTTCATTCTTAGCAATGACGTTGCCACAACCCTTCAATCATTTTGGTTGCTATCCAGCTTCTCCCCATCAAAACCAACTTTAGAACACTTACACCTATTGGGGGAAAAAAGTAGTTGACCTATCTGATTATAGTAATGATAACTGTCTCTCTGATTGTATTTCTTGAACGTTGGACCAAATTTTGTCTGAAAAGACAGTTATATTTCTTTTAAATCGTCAAGGATAAGTAGAGTTGACCCATCTGAGCTGGAGGTAAAGAACTTGTCAAACGAACAACTTTAAAGGCACAGACAATTGAAAAGGACAGTGTTGAGAGTAGAGCTCATTCAGTTATTAAAGACTTATTGAGGCGACTTTCAGTGGCAGACTATCCCCCAAGTGGCCTAGGAGGAATTTCAAAGTAAGAAAAGATTACCTTTATCAATCCCTCCTTTGTTTTTTACAAATCTTTCACCTGCTCATTACCCATCCCACCAAGTCCCTTCCCCATTTTCAGTACTCTCATTCTGCCCTCTGACTGCCAACTGTAGCTCTCCACCCTTTCTAAAAATGCTTTCAAAATACCCCACCTTTCCCTCCCCCACTACATGATCTCATTAGGTGTTAGAAGGAAACAAATCTATTATCGAATTAAAATAATTGGCAGTAGGATATGATTAATTGCTGTGCTTGACCCTTAGGCAACTACTGATACAGAAAAGAGAAGCATGTTGACTTGATGCATGAATGTTGGGATGGTGGCACTTAACTATTTCTGCTAGGCTTTCTAGTTGCGGTAGTAGAAAAATGAGAAACAGTGACCAGTCAGCTCATTTCTGAAAAATTGTTTTGATTTAACTCAAATTTAATTATATTTTTTTCACACTACCCATCTATCACAGCAGCCTGATTGTTTTAGCCTTTTGATGGTGGCCTTTGGTGTGTTTCAAATAATAACAATTTTAATTTTATAGACTAAGTAAACAAATGATTTTTGAGGCTCTAGTTGAATCACTGATCACTATTCTAAATGTTGATTAACTAAAATTAATAGCCTTAGAGTGTATAGGACTTTCCAACTCTTCTTAACATTGCTAGTAATAGATAATTATTTTCACTTTTCTGACTAGATAGGTGATTGGTAAATATTATCCATGTGATTTAGAGATTAAATGTTTAATCTGTTTTTACTCTGGTACATAAAGTTTAAGGTACAACTATTCTTGGGTCTTGTGAGATTAGTAGAACGAGTTCCTACTGGTTCCATGAACAATTGTATTGTTGTTGTTTATATTAGTCCCTTTAAGTACAAAATTTCATTTATTGCCTAACTTCTAGCACTTTGGGGTAGGGCTTCTCCAAATGTGCTTTTAAAATGGAGTTTTAAATTTGATATTTTAAAACTGTTTTAAAATTGATTTTTTTCCCAAAAAAGGATTAAATTAGGAAGAAAACCTACTAAACTTTTGTCTGCCAGTCAACATTTATTTGAATTTCCCATGGGTAGATTGTAATGGAGTAATAGAAGTACTAGAAACCCTGCCTCTTTCTTGTCTTAGAGAAAACTTAGAATCCCAGTGGGGATCCAAAATCTGTATGCACACAAAAATTAGCAGATCTTAAAGCTCTATAGTATAGACTTCCTGACTTTAAAATTTAGTCATCATAGCAAAATTAAAACTCTAACTTAGGAAAGAAGTGATCAACATCCTAAGGATTTGTAACAGTTCAACAAAATTATTCGTAACTTAAATTGACTTTTCAATGTTTAATTCAAATTTCATATTTTAAGGTATGATAGCATCTTTAGCATATAATAAATCAGTATGACAGTTCCTAAGCCTAAATAATATTAATACCTTTCATTTAAAATCTTGGTTTATTTGGAACTTTTGGCAGGAGTCTTTGTTATGGCAGAAAGTTAATTAACTGCTGCTATTTCAGAACTTGTCAGCAAAAATCAAACCACCAGAGCTCCTTGTCTTTGCCTCCCTCTGAGTCATTTCCTCTCCAAGCCTCGCCTTTAAATCTTATTTGCTTCAGTGTCTATTTAATTAATTTTTCTGTATACTAATTGAGTGTTTCTGCTGAGGAAAAAAAAGGTTATTATTGCCTTTTCCCATTTGGTTATGTTTATGAAAATGGCTGTTTCTGAGTTTGTGACCATGTTTGTGTTACCTTGATTACTAATAGATCACTGATTTTATTAGTGATGTGTGTGTGTGGCTTAAAATAGGAGGAAATAAGAAGCTTTGTGTTGGAAATGGAAACTTTAGGCAAATTGACAGATTATTTTAAGTACTTTTTCCAAACAATATTAGGAAATTTATCTCTGTACCATACTAAATTCAAGTATCTCATCTGAAAATAATAAAGCAAGTGAAATGCTCTTAGCTTATGAAATGAAAAATTTGTCTATATAGATTTGTTTGCTTCCTTTCATCTGACCGTTAGAGTTGTATAAATTGCCCGGATTTCCTTTTTTGCCTTAACCATTAGGAAGGTAAGGCAGGGTAGTTTTATGTGGCAATTCCAGTCTATATATCTGGAATTTCTAGGGAATCAGGAATCTAAGTTTTGCAGTTATGTAAGTGCAGGTAGATGATAATATGATTAAATATATGTGAGTATATTTAAGAGCAGTAATGACAAGTAGCATTTGATCTTTTTTTTGTACTTTCGAAGGATAATAACAAGTAAAACTGTTGTCAGCTGGAGCTGTTATAAAAGGGTTTTTATTATTTAAACATTTGGTATCCCTTTTTATTGTATCCCATGTATAAATCCTAGGAGTAAAGTGACCTTGGGTAAATTATTTAACATTTCTGAGACTTGATTTTATTATCTGTAAAATGAAATAATACAAATTAGAAAGATTGTTTTGAGACTAAATTAGATAAACTGCTGAGTAACTCTCAGGTGGTAAAACCCAAGGGTCTGCATTTTTTTTTTTTTTTTTTTAAGTCGGAGTCTCACTCTTGTTGCCCAGGCTGGAGTGCTATGGCATGCTCACAGCCACCACAGCCTCAACCTGCGGGACTTAGGTGATCCTTCTGCCTCAGCCTTCCAATTAGCTGGAGCTATAGACGCACGCCACCACGCCCGGCTAGTTTTTTGTGATTTATTGTAGAGATGAGATCTCACCAAGTTGCCCAGGCTGGTCTCAAACCCCTGGGCTCAGGCAATCCTCTCCCCTCAACCTCCCAAATTTCTGGGATTACAGGCTGAGCCACCGCGCCGGGCCAGAGTCTGCATTTTTAACCAGTTCTCCAGATGATTATTAGTGTAATATGGATTCTAAAATTCTAGTGTATATGAGGATCACTTGAAGGACTTGTTAAGACACTTTGCTGGGCCTTACCCCCAGCATTTCAGAGTCAGTAGGTCTAGGTGGAGTCCAGCAATTAATATTTCCAACAAGTTCCTAGGTGATGCTGATGCTGCTAGTCTCGGGACCACACTATAAGATCACTGGTGCAGTATATAAGATGCCACTTTGACCAGCCTAAGAAAAATAGAAAAAGTAATAATAGGAACATTTGTTGAGTATTCATCATGTACCAGCAACTATTGTGTGTGATTTACATATATTATTATCCATTCCTCTCAATGATCCTATGAAATCGGTGTTATTATCCTCATTTAAAACAGAGAGTTTCAATAACTTGCCCAAAGTCACCCAGCTACTACAAACCTGGAAAGTCTGGCTGTGGAACTCACTCTTTAAAACATTTTTCAGATAAAAGATGTAACCTTATAATTGTGCAGCCCTCTCTGTAAAGGATTTTTTCCTATTTTAAAATAAATATATTTGGGCCAGGCACAGTTGCTCACGCCTGTAATTCCAGCACTTTAGAAGATTGAGGTAGGAGGATTGCTTGAGCCTAGGATTTCGAGACCAGCCTAGGCAACATAGTAAGCCCTTGTCTCTACAAAGAAATAAAAAAATTAGATGGGTATGGTGGCATATACCTGTAGTCCCAGCTTTGGGAGGCTGAGGTGGGAGGATCACCTGAGCTTGGGAAGTCGAGGCTGCAGTAAACCAAGATTGTGCCACTGCACTCCAGTCTGGGCAACAGAGTGAGACCCCAATTCAGTTCCCATGTCAAAGATTGTAGGACCAGGCTTAGCTGGATCCCTGATGGCAAGGGAAGCCCACTTAAGCATGTGCTAGCATGTACTGTATACAACCTTGTGTTCAACTAGACTTTTGTAGACTTGATTTTTAAATGTCTTTTTTTAATTGATTGTGCTTTTAAAGATGTCTGTAAAAATATTTTAATGAAATGTTGCTTATTACATTTGTCTCCTGTCAAGTTGTATAAAACATGAGAACATGAGATTATAACTTTTCTTCCCCCTTTGCAGGGTCTTCTCGGCCATTATGGCAGTCAAGTGGACTGGTGGACATACTTCTCCTATTCTCTGCCTGAATGCAAATCAAGAAGGCCTAGTGGCTTCTGGAGCAGAGTGTGGAGATCTCATGGCTTGGGGTGAAGATGGCACTCCATTAGGACACACACGGTTCCAAGGGACTGATGATGTTGCCAGTGTTTTATTTTCTCCCTCCTGCCCCACTAAGCTATATGCTTCACATGGAGAAACCATTAGCATACTGGATGTCAGGTTCCTCAAAGGTTCCCTGGACCATTTTCATGTGAATGAAGAAGAAATCAATTGTCTTTCATTGAATGAAACTGACAACCTACTTGCTTCTGCTGATGACTCTGGGGCAATCAAAATCCTAGACTTGGAAAATAAGAAAGTTAGCAGATCCCTGAAGAGACATTCCAATATCTGTTCCTCTGTGGCTTTTCGACCTCATAGGCCTCAGAGTCTGGTGTCATGTGGACTGGATATGCAGGTGATGCTTTTGCAGAGAGTACTTGGGTAATTTCTAAATGAGATTTGCTAACAGAATCTAATTATTGATCATGCTAAATACATCTTTGCATTTTCGGTTCTCTACTGACACGTCTTACATACGTTTATGAACCACAAGCCTTATGTCTATATTTAATGCTAAACTGACTAATCCTAGCAGATTTTACTCAAAAAGCAATCACTAGTCCTTTAGTCTTCCTTTCTCTACAACAGTCTTAAAACCTGATAATTCAAATATTTGATTCTAATCTAAACATCTGTTTAAACATAGGAGAGTAGTAAAGGCAGAATTGTTCTACCCACTCTCTACAAATTGTTTTTTTTTTAAAGTTAGACTGGATCTTTTTTACTTTAAAGTTCTGGGCTACATTAATTGAAATATCGTGTATTGGTGACCAGGATCAGAGCACTGTATTCAATACTGTTTTGAAAAGAATATCACAGATTATTCCAAATCCAAAAGATGTTTCTAAAAACCCCATTATGTGGGGAACTGGAGGTATTTAATTCTAGTTTTCTTGATGTGAAAAAATTGAATATTCTGGTCTGCATAGCACAAGTTATGGGGAAGCAGATTTTGGTTTAATGTAAGAGTTTCAAATAGCTTGAAGTTTCCTACAGCAGGATGTGCCTTCTCTTGAAAGAGTAAATCTCACCACTGGAGTGAGAATAATCATGACTTCTATCTGTAGAACACTTAGTTCTTGCCAGTGCTTAACATATACCAGTACTTATTTATATTTTAGAGACGTAGTCTTACTTTGTCCCCCAAGCTGGAGCGCAGTGGTACGATCATAGCTCATTGTAACCTTGAACTCCCAGGCTCAGGCAGTCCTCTTGCCTCAAACTCCAAAGTGCTAGGATTGCAGGCATAAGCTACCGTGCCAGCCTTACTAGTTTTAATTCTAATCACACTCATCTAGATAGTTATTCCTTTTTCATAAATGAGGAAACTGAGATTCAAATTTAGTGTCCACACAGCTGGCTGACTGGGATTCAAACCTCAGTCTCTCTGCCTCCAAAGCCTTTTTTTTTTCCTGTGACAATGGAAGTATTCAAGCAGAATATCATCAGTAATATGACAAAATTTTCTTGGTTGGGAACAGATGACTTCTAGAAAGAGAGCCATTGTGTATTATTCCCTCTGTATCTAGCACTATTTGGGCATTTAATCTGTGAGATCTAAGACTATGTTCTTGTTAAGAGTATCAGAAGTTTTGACTTTGCACATCCTTGTTCAGTAGACTTTACCCCTCCCCCTTCTACCCCGCACATCTTTGATAATTTAGGACTTAGTGAGACTGGTGGTTGTTGTCACAGTGACTGCCCCATTCCCCCTCAAGCCGCCAGCATTTGGTAGGCAGAATCAGTGGACGTCCCACAGCACTGGAACAGTCCCCAAATGACAATAAAGAATTGTCCCACCAAAAATGGCTGTAGTGCCTTTGTTGAGAATCCCTCTATATGTATGGGCACAGTGACCTTACAACCTCTAAACTCTTTCCACTTCTATGTTTTGACAAAACCCATTATAAACCCCCTATGATCTTCACCCTCATGGTGATAATCTGCCTATGTAGTAACAGAAGCACATAAGCAGGTGGGTATCCTTTTTATTTTTTTTGGAGTCAGGTTCTCTCTGTTACCCAGGCTGGAGTGCAGTGGCATGATCAAGGCTCACTGCAAGCTCAACCGCCTGGGCTCAAGAGATCCTTCTGCTTTAACCTTCCAGGTAGCTGGAACTACAGGCGCAGGCCACCACTCCCAGCCAGTTTTTTGATTTATTGTAGAGACGAGGCCTCCTTATGTTGCCTAGGCTGGTGTTGAATTCTTAGGCTCAAGCAGTCCTGCCTCAGCCTCCCGAAGTGCTGGAATTACAGGCATGAGCCACTGCACCTGGCCTTGGATATCATCTTTAAGAAGACAGATTGTACAGTGTATCTGACTAGTCATTCTGTCGTCTTTCAGCTATGCCAGTTTTCCATCACTGGCTCATTAGTTAACTAGGAATGGCAATAGACAATTAGAGATGCAAAAATGGCGTATGCTCTTTAGATTAGATAAGGAATGAACATTCAGAATTTACCATCTTACTCCCAATTCCAGATGACATTTTAGTGACAGCATCTGCTAGAGAATAGTCTAGGAAACAAATATTTTGAGGAAAGGCTTAGGTAATTACTTATTTTTATTTGCCTGGCAGAAATTGCTGAAAGTTCACTGTAGATTAACTTCTGCATTGGGTTGTCATCTAACAACAGCACAATCATGTTTTTAAGAGATTACTTCCTTAACTAAAATGAAAACTATGTAATTTTTTTCTACAGTTTTCTTCTTAAAACCTGGTCATCCAGTACTATTGAAACTTTAAGAACAGCCAGCCTGTGGGAGAATTGAAGAATGTAGGCATAATAGTGGAAGAGAGTTCTTGCTATCTTAATTTGAGTTACTTCTCTCTTATGTCAAGGCATCAACTGAATTATTGCTATGTTCAGCACACCCTTTGTTATAGAAATTTTTTAATTGTTTGTTTTAACTTAAAATAACTTAAATGTTGTTTTAAATAATTAGGCAGAGAACACTGAAAGGCAGGGATCTTAAGAGCAAAGTGTGATTTATTAAGACACTTGAGACTTTAATTTTTTAATAAATAGGTATAAAATATTGCATAAGGAATGAAGAATAACATTAAATAAATACCTGTGTGTCTTTCAAATTTTGAAACCATTATATGTTTCTGTAGCATACACAGTGATTTTCTTTCTTCCCTCCTTTCTACATCTGAAAACAAATGGTTCACAGGTTTGTTCTTCTTTCTGGAGTTTATAAGACCTCTAATAGCAACACTTAGGGATCAGGTGGCAAAGAAGGCTCTTTATCTTGAAGATCAGTTTTCTGATGGAAATAATTTTTTTTTAGAGGAATTTTTCTTTTCCACTTCAAGGGTTTGTATAGGTTTGTTACATGGGTATATTCTGTGATGGTGAGGTTTGGGCTTCTGTGAGCCCACCCATCACACAAAGTAGTGGGCCTGATACCCAATGGGCAATTTTTCAGTCCTTACCCCTCTCTCTTCCTGCCCCCTTTAGGAGTCCTCATTGTCTGTTGTTCTCAGCCTTACGCTCGTGTGTATGCAGTGTTTAGCTCCTTCTGATAAACGAGGGCATGCACTATTCGGTTTTCTGTTTCTGTGACAATTTGCTTAGAATGATGGTCTCCAGGTACATCCATGTTGCTGCAAAGGACGTGATTTTGTTCTTTTTTATGGCTGTCTGGTATTCCATGTTGTATATGTACCACATTTTATTTTATTTTATTTTATTTTTTGAGTCGAAGTCTTACTCTGTCACCCAGGCTGGAGTATAGTGGCACAATTACAGCCACTGCAGCCTCGACCTGCTGAACTCAGGCAATCCTCCTGCCTCCGCTTTCCAAGTAGCTGGAACTACAGGTGTGTGCCTCAATGCCCAGCAAATTTTTTGATTTACTGTGGAGATGAGGTCTTACCAAGTTGCCCAAGCTGATCTCGAACCCCTGGGCAGTCCTCTTGCCCCCACCTCCCAAAGTGCTGAGATTACAGACATGAGCCCTGCATCTGGCACCACATTGTCATTATCTTGCCCACTGTTGATGGCCACCTAGGTTGGTTTCATGTTTTTGCTATTGCGGATAGTGTTATGATAAACGTATAAGTGCAGGTCTTTTTGGTAGAGTGATTTATGCTCCTTTAGATATGTACCCAGTAGTGGGATTGCTGGGTCACATGGTAAATCTATTTTAGTTCTTTGAGAAATCTCCAAACTGCTTCCCACAGGGGTTGAACTAGCTTGCACACCAACAGTGTAGGAGTGTTAGTTACCTTTCCTCCACAACCTTGCCAACATGTGTTGTTTTTTGCTTGTTTATTTTACATCTGTTGTTTTCTAATTTTTTTATTTATTTTTTGAGTCAGAATCTTACTCTGTCATCCAGGTTCAAGTGCAGTGGCACAATCACAGCCACCACAGCCTTTACCTGCTGGGCTCAAGTGATCCTTCCATCTCAGCCTTCCAAGTAACTGGAACTACAGGCACAGGCCACCATGACCGCTAATTTTTTAATTTATTGTAGAGATGAGGTCTCGCCAAGTTGCCCAGGCTAGTCTCATACCCCTGGGCTCAGGTAGTTCTCTCGCCTCTGCCTCTTAAAGTGCTGGGATTACAGGCATGAGCCACCATGCCCAGTGATTTTTGACTTTTTAATAGTTGCCATTCTGATTGGTGTGAGATGGTATTTCCTTGTGGTTTTTATTTGCTTTTCTCTGGTGATTAGTGATGTTGAACTTTTTTTTGTTAGTTGGAGTCTCATTCTGTCACCCAGGCTGGAGTGCAGTGGCATGCTCACGGCCACCCCAGCATCAACCTGCTGGGCTCCAGTGATCCTTCCGCCTTCAGCCTTCCAAGTAGTCAGAACTACAGGCGCGCACTACCATGCCTGGCTAATTTTTTATTTATTGTAGAGATGAGTTCTCACCAAGTCACCCAGGCTGATCTGAAACCCACGAGCTCAGGCAGCCTACTCGCCTCGGCTTCCCAAAGTGCTGGGATTACAGGCTGAGGCATTGAGCCTGGCTGAACATTTTTTCATGTTTGTTGGCTGCTTGAATGTCTTCTTTTGAGAAGTGTCTGTTCATATCCTTTGCCTACTTTTTAATGGGGTTATTAGTTATTTTCTGTCAATTCATTTGAGTTCTTTATAGATTCTGGATATTAGTCCTTTGTCAGATGCGTAGCTTGCAAGTATTTTCTCCCATTCTGTAGGTTGTCTGTCTACTCTTTGATGGTGTCTTTTGCTGTACAGAAGCTCTTTAGTTTGATAAGGTCCCACTTGTCAGTTTTGGTTTTTGCTGCTTTTGAGGCCTTAGACGTGAATTCATTGCCTAGACTGATGTCCAGAAAAGTATTACCCAGGCTGTCTTCTAGAATTTTTATAGTTTGAGGT